AGGTGAACCTATTCTAATGAGGAGCTGGGGGACATGACTTTGATCACCCCCAGCCTGGGCAATTTAATCAAAGAATATATCCCCACCTAAACCTGAGTAGAATACAATGAACTTCCCCGCCAGGGTAGAGTCTGAACAAGTTTGAAGAGAAAATTAATGGAATCTGAACAAATCTGAAGAGAAAGTTAATTAGCAATGTCCTTCAGAAGCTGGCTTGGCCTAATGAGGTTTCAGAAAGGAAAAAAATCTTGTCTCCCCCCAATATTAACAATTAGTTATTTAACAATCATTTCTCTGAAGTCATTTAACTTTTGCCACATCTTTGGAGAATTATAGTCCTAAAACCATCCAATCCCCCTTTATCCATTCCCTTCATTCTCCTTTCCAATTGGTCAATACTGTCTTAATGGAATCATTAACTGAAGTAATCAAAGAGACTTGTCCCTTCTCATCAGTGGATCATTGTCCTAATTCCTTCAGGGCATGAAGAAAGAGACACTACTAACAACATTATAAAGAAAAACAGCTTGTAAAGCCTTGAGAACTGTGATCTGTATGATGACAAACCAAAAGTCCAAAGGAATGAAACTGAAACACACCACCCACCCACTGCCAGAGAGGTGATAAATTTCAAAGGTGGAATTAGACAGACATTTTTTTTAGACTTAGTCTGGCCAGTGCGGGAATTTGTTTTGCTGGACTATGCATAGCTGTTATGAGAGTTTTCTTTCTGTGTTCAATGAGGGGAGTGGGAAATAAGAAGGAGAGTTAATAAATGCTTGTATAAAGAGTCCAGTATAATTTTTTTCACTTTATTTTTCTTTCATTTTTTTTTGCAACATGAAAACATGAAAAAAAAATGAAAAAGAACTTCATATGATTTCACACGTGTAATTGATACATTGCCTTCTCAATGGGTGGGAGAGGGGTTGGAGAGAGGGGAGAATTTAGAACACAAAATTTTTTTAAAAGAACATTTAGGGGCAGCTAAATGGCACAGTGGATAGATAGAGCACCACCCTGGTGCTATCAGTAGAACCTGAATTCAAATCCAGCCTCAGACACTCCACCCTGAGCAAGTCATTTAACCCCCAAGTGCCTCACCCAAAAAATAAATAAATAAATAAAGATGTTTGAATAATAATTTTTTTTTAAAATTTAAGACCTAAACATAAAAATAAACTGCATCCTTGTTGCATATCCTTGCCGTGTTTGGACAAAGTCAACCTTCTTTTGTTAATTATTCACTGACTTGTGAGTGCCTCCTTTCATCCCAACATCAAACCTGAGTGTGATGCTGGCGTGAAGCCTACCCCTAACACCTGCATTGCTGAGATGTAGAGCATATAGAAGAGGGCAAAATGTAAGAAGACTTGAAAGGTAGGAAGGGGGACAGGTTAATGAAGAGCTTTAATGTCAAAAGAAGGAGGTTAAATTTGATCCCAGAGGTAAATAGAGAGCCACTGGAGCTCATTGAGAAGGGGATGATGGGAAGACTTGTATTAACCAATAGAAAGCGAAGTAAGCAGAACCAGGAGAACATTGTACACAGAAACAGCAATATTGTAACTGTGATCAATGGTGAAAACTTTAGCTACTCTGATCTACAGAATGATTCGTGACAATTCCAAAGGACTCATGATGAAAAATGCTATCTATCTCCAAAAAGAAAACTGATGAACTCTGAGTGCAGATTGAAGCATATTATTTTTTCATTTTATTTTTCTTGATTTTTTTCTATCACGGCTAATGTGGAAATATATTTTGCATGACTCCACATGTATAATGGGTATCATGTCACTTGCCTTCTCAATGGGTGGTAGAGGAGCAAGAGGGAGGGAGAGAATTTAGAACTCAAAATTTAAAAATGAATGTTTAAAAAAAAAAAAGAAGGGAGATGAGATGGTCAGATCAATGCTTTAGAAAAATCATCTTGGGGGCAGCTAGGTGGCACAGTGAATAGAGCCTTGGAGTCAGGAGGACCTGAGTTCAAATCCAGCCTCAGACACTTAACACTTACTAGCTGTGTGACCCTGGGCAAGTCACTTAACCCTGATTGCCTCCCCAAAAAGCAAAAAAAAAAAATCATCTTGGCAGCTGAGTGGAGGATTGATTGGAGTAGAGAGAGACTTAAGACAGGGAGGCCACTTGTTTACTGTAATAGCCCAGAGAAGAGGCGATGAAGGCCTGGACTAGGGTGATGGAGAGAAGGGGACGTATAGGAGAGATGTGCAGGTAGAAACAACAAAATATGTTAAAGCCACAGTTGACTCCAACAGACACTGGGCAGGAGGTAAAAGGGATGAGGCAGCATAAGACAAAAGAGTCTGTCAAAGTGTTAGGGTGGAGGACTCCAGACTCTCTCCTGGACAGTCATAGGATACAGAATTGAAAGGGACCATAGGGATCATCTAGTACAGCCTTCCCATATTGTAGATGAGAAAACTGAGGGCCAGAAAGGGGAAGGATAGGTAGTGCAGTAGGTAGAACACTGGGCCTGGAGTCAGGAAGACCTGAATTCAAATTTGACCTCAGCTACTTACTAGCCATGTGACCTTGGGCAGGTCATTTAACTTCTGTTTGTTTCAGTTTCCCTATCTGTAAAATGGGGATAATAATAGCACCTACTTCTAAGGGTTGTTGTGAGGATGTGTCTCTGGCACATATTGAGTGTATATATAAATGCTAACTCTCATTTCTGTTACAGGTGACAGAACAGGAATTCACACCCAGGTTCTATGACTCCAAATCCAGTTTTCTTTCCAACAGACCTAACTTCTTGTTCAGTTTGCCTAATGAACTTCCTATGACCTCAGACTTTCCTCCATGGACTCCAGTGTTGCTTGCATATCTTTAATTAAATGTGCTTTCGGTAACTGCTCACCCGCTTCTCACTCAGACTGGGGGAACCAGACACATTTGGTAATTAGCCAGTTTTCACCAGTATTTCCTGTGCTTCACTTTCTAGGTTGCAAATGAAATTTGAGGACCAGGCTCAAAGAAGATACTAAAACTATGCTTAATCCAAGAAGCATTTCTTAAGGGTTTTCACAAAGCACTGTATTAGGACTACAAAGACAAAAATGGAAAGAGTTCCTCCCCTCAAGAAGTTACATATTTTGGAGTTCGTTTTTGTTCCATTGCATCCCCTTTTAACAAATATTTTTCACCCATTTTGTTTTTCCTGAATGGATTGTTAGAATGTTTTTTGAGATTATTTTGAATAATCATGGATCTCATTGAAGAAGCTTGTAATATTCTGGGTATGTATTGGTATCAGATGATATTAAAACAAAATTTGATGGGTTTTTTTTTTGAACTGCAAATGGAACCGCTTAGTCTTTATTTTTCCATCTATGTCTAAAACCTCTTTGATAAAAGCACACATTCTATTACTGGTGGTCATTTACATGCTGGTAGTTTTAGCATGATTACATCTTTATTGTATTGACAAGCTAGGAGCCTCTGTTTTTCAGGGGCCCTCCAAGGACTCCAGGAGCCCGTTTGAGAGTGACTTTAATCAGAGTACCATCCCTAGAAGACACCAGTATGGATTCTGGGGTGTGCAATTCAAAAATTGTAAATTTGGATAGAATTATATCTTATAATTAAGTTAATCCTATAAAGAGAGAGGTGTGGTGTTGTGTCAAAAAAGATTATCATCAGTTACTCAGGCTTTGGATAATTCCACTGAGAAAATAATGCTCCTTTAACAAAATATTCCAGCCTCTTAACATTAATGTAAAATCTCGCTCTTCATCTAAGCCTTCTACAAATCCTACAGGGAGATGCCTGGGGTTTAATAATAATAACCAGAATTTGCAGAATGCCTTTAAGATGTTTCACACACAAATTCTCACATCATCCTTATGAAGTACTATCAATCCCACTTTAGAGTTGCGAAAACCAAGGTTGTAGCTAGTCAATAAAAGTGACTCCGGAAAAAAGGTTCACAAAGAAATCCAGGTAATTTTCAAAAGAATTTTTTTTTATCCCTAACAATTCATTAATTTAGTATTTATTGATCACTGGCAAAGTGCAAGGTATTACTTTGTATCTTTTGATAAATAATTTTTCTTTAAAATTCTGAATAGAACTTACTGATGTGCCCATTGTTATACCTTCTGTACATAGGGTATTAGTTGCTGTAATTAACTAGTTTACTAAGTAAGGAGTGTAAATGTTAACAGACTCACCTGAAGTCAGATGGTCAGGGCTTTTGTTAAAGGTAGGATTAGAATCGAATTACTTAGTCCCAATACAAAGATCTCTCTCAACCACTACCTACATAATAAGACAGTCTCCTAGCAGATAAATGGCAGGAACAAAGTCACACACATTTCCCCAGGAAGTTTAATACACACGTATTAAATGTATACATGTATGTGTATGAATATATACACATACATATAGATGCTGTTGAATGCAGCTGAGTATGAATTGACCTTGCCTGTTCCCATAGCTTTGAATTGCCTGAGGGCAATGAAACCAGTTGAAAGGAGAACTAAAAAAAATAGAAAAGAAAAGAAAAGAAAAGAAAAGAAAGCAGCCCCTTATTACAACCACATATTACCACTCCCCAGTCTCCCAAAACAATTTACATAACAGCTTCTCTAGGTCCTGTTCCCCATAGGACTCCCTCCCTGTTGATATGTATTTAACCCTGCCCCTCTCTGCCGTTCTTGGGTACTCTAGTACCTTGGTGCTTTGTGGTGGCCCCAGATTTCAATCCATTTTCTTCCATTAAAGATCCTACTTTTGGGGACAGCTAGGTGGTGCAGTGGATAGAGTGCTGGCCCTGAAGTCAGGAGGACCTGGGTTCAGATCTGACCTCAGACCAAACACTTGACACTTACTAGCTGTGTGACACTGGGCAAGTCACTTAACCCCAACTGCCTAAAACCAAAGAAAAAAGAAAGATCCTAGTTTTTCATACTTTGGTAGCATTCTTTATTCCAGGCTGAAAATATATACATATATGTATGTATATACATATATACACACATATGTATGCACACATTTATATATACACATGTACGATACAAGTGTGATTTCTAACTTTAATCATGCCTCACTTTAAGAAAACCAATTAAACAAAATCAGATAACTCAAAAGACTATCTGTGTGAACCAGAAGATTCACCACTTGGCAAGCTTTTTTAGACAGAAAGCCTTGTTCATAACTTTCAGAAGGACTTGTATTGCATAAATCAAGTTGCTGCTACTTATTTGGCAAGTATCATAGATTTAGGGCTGCAGGGGGTCTCAGAAGCCATGATCCAACCTCTCTATTTTATAGATGAAGAAACTGAGGCCCAGGGAGGCTGTGACTTGCCCAAGGTCCATCAGAGGTCCAAGCATGAGAGGTGGGATTTTAACCCTGGTCTTCTAGTTTCAGAGCCAATAATCTTTCCATTGAAGCACACTGCCTCCTGTGATCTCTAGAATGGAAAAGGAAATGGCCTAATAGTTGCTTGGATGTTTTCATTGTTAAGATCATCATCACTACAGTCTTTTTCCTTTTAATCCATGATTATAAATACTTCAAAAGATCTTGAGTGATTCACCATTATACATCAAAACCCTTCTGGGTCTTAGTGACTAGTCTTTATGAACTTCTGTAGTGAAACAGAGCTGAATACTGGTCTCCAACCAGTACCTGATGGATGAGTGTCTCAGAACTTGGCTAGGCCAGTCCTCCGATGATGAGTACACAGTCTATCACTGCTCCTGCAGGGAAAGTTTGTTTTACTTTGTGTTTTAGCTCAGAAGAAGTTGCCTATTGATCTGCCGGCATTTCCACACCATGATGAAGCATGGAGTATGACTTTGGTAAGGGGTATTTGTGAATAAAATATGGCAACATTATTTTTGGCAGGGTATAAAAAGAAGAAATTGGGACATAGCTGTTCTTTAATGGGCTGAAATACCTAATGAAAATGCCAAATGTTCCTTATTTATTACCTTGAGGGAATAAAGTATTACCTGGGTGGGGTGTGTGTGTGTGTGTGTGTGTGTGTGTGTGTGTGTGTGTGTTTTGGAGGGTTGGGACCTATGAATTTACTAATATAGGAAACTCCCAATGAGGAAACTAGCTCTACCAATACAGATTTGCCACCATTCTGCAAAGTTGATTGGAGTCTTGAGAAGTTACGTAACATGTTGAATGTCACAGAGTCACAAGCGTCAGAGGAATGACCTGAATTCAGGTTTTCCTATTTCCAAGGTCCACTCTCTTTTCTCTTTGCCATATTGCCTCAACCAGGGAGGAGTTTGACAAATGAAAATGGTTTAATTGGGTCAGATGGTTGAAGTTTTCTCACTTTTGGCTTAATGAAATGAAAACCTATATGTAATAGAGGTTCAATTAAATTCAATAAATATTTATTAAGTGCCTACTGTGTGCCAGGCACTATGCTAAGCACTAGGGATACAAATAAGAAAAAGAAAGTCAGCCCCTGCTGTGAAGGTTGTTTTTTTCCTATATCATCATCTGATGTTTTACCGTGTCAATACTAAAGTGAAATTTTTGTTTATCTTAGCAAGTATTTTGAAATATTTTAATAAAGGGCTGATGCTGTGATATGTATTATCTTGTTCTTTGAGAAGGCAATAAATAAGGCTTTTAGGGCAACTAGGTGGCACAGTGGATGGAGCACTGGATTTGGAGTCAAGAATACTCATCTTTATGAGTTCAAATCCAGCCTCAGTCATGTACTAGCTGTGTGACCCTGGGTAAGTCACTTAAACCTATTTGCCTCAGTTTCCTCATCTGTAAAATGAGCTAGAGAAGGAAATGGCAAATCACTTCAGTATCTTTGCCAAGAAAACCCCAAATGGGGTCACAGGGAGTCTGAAATGACAGAGGAGGAGGAGAAGAAGAAGAAGAAGAAGAAGAGAAGAAGAAGAAGAAGAAGAAGAAGAAGAAGAAGAAGAAGAAGAAGAAGAAGAAGAAGAGAAGAAGAAGAAGAAGAAGAAGAAGAAGAAGAAGAAGAAAGACTTTAACTGGGTGCTATAAAATCAAAAAAGACAACATTTGTAAAATGCCTAGCACATAGTAAGCTCTATGTAAATGCTTATTTAAAAAAAGATTCAGATCAGTCACTCTGATAGATTTAAAGTCATAGTTCTCAAACTTCTTGATCTTGGGACTTCTTTACACTCTTAAAAATTATTGAGGATCCCAAAGAGTTTTTGTTTATGTGGGTTATATCTATTGATATTAACCATATTAGAAATTAAAATAGATATATTTTTAAAATATTTAATTCATTTTAAAATAATACTAAACCCATCACATGTTAAAATAAAATATTTGTATGAAAAACTATATTTTCCAAAACAAATAAATTTAGTGAGAAGAGTGGCACCATTTTACATATTTTTGCAAATCTCTTTAATGTCTGGCTTAATAAAAAACAGCTGGATTCCCATCTCTGCTTCTGTATTCAATCTGTTACGATATATTGTTTGGGTTATGAAGAAAATCCAGCCCCAAACAGATATGTACAGCAGTTAGAAAAGAGAGGAGTATTTTAATATTAGTCAGTATTATGATGAAAATTTTTTTACCTTGAAGACTCCCTGGAAGGGTCTAAGGGACCCCTATAGGGCTGTGTGCCACATTTGAGGACTGCTCATTTGAAAGAATGTCAGTATTCTTCTGGTGAGCTCTAAGTCACAGAACATCACACTCTGCAAAGAGACAAAGGGACAGGTCATCCAAAGGGTTATGGAGAGACATACCATGGATTAAAAATAGACTGCAGCACGTCACTGGCGACAAACTTCACACAAGAAGCAGCAGGGAAGGAGGCAGGCCAGCCAAATGACAGATGTAAGGAAAGGATACTAGATGGAAAGAAAGTCTATGTTTCACACTGATCCCAGCATAGTTTTAGAAGAGCTAGGCTTCAGCTGCAGAATGAGACATACATTTTTGAACATGGTAAATGTGCAGATTTGGGGTTTTTTGTGTTATTTGTTACAAGGAGTATGTGTGTGTGTGTGTGTGTGTGTGTGTGTGTGTGTGTGTGTGTGTGTGTGTGTCCCCAAGGGGTGGAAGAAAAAGAACCTAGCAATAGTGTTGCCAAAAAAAAAAAAGAGAAAAGAAAGAAAAGAGGATCTTGTAGGACAGCTTTAAAAATCATATATTAAATTTATTATACGCTAAAGCAAGATGCATGTAATAGAGATGTGTGGTTTCACACACAATCCTCCTTTTCTATTCAAGTTTCTACATGGAAATGTTCCAAAAAAGGTTTTTCGGTGCGCGTGAAGTTGAGAATTTTTTAAAAAGGTAAAAGGCAGATTAAAAAACAATTAAGGAAAAAATAAGGATACATATCAAGTGAAAATGAGGAGCTGGAACAAAACTGCATTATGCTTCAGGTGATGTCATAAAAAGTCAGTTCTGCAATTACGATTTCAGGCAAAGCAACAATAAAAGCAGAAAGTGTAATGAGAGATAAGAGGGAAACGTACAATATGTGCAAAGTCACCTCAGACAGTGAAACTGTAACACCGTTTAATATACATGTGACATACAGTATTTATAACAGGAAAAAAAATCTATCAGGTTCTTACCATTTTGTTGTTGTTATTCAGTAGTTTTTCCAATAATGTCCAACTCTTCACGACCCCATTTGGAGTTTTCTTGACAAAGATACTGGAATGGTTTGCCTCTTCCTCCTCCAGTTCATTTTATAGATGAGGAAACGAGGCAAACAGGGTTAAGTGACTTGCCCAGGGTCATACTACTAAGTGTCTAAGGGCATATTTGAACTCAGGAAGACGAGTCTTCCTAATTCCAAGCCCAATGGTCTACTCACTGCACCACCTAGCTGCCTTGTAATCCTGTCCCATTTTTTCTCATCTATTGAATGCGAGATTAAAAATGTACCTGTCTTTTCTGGTGGAAACCTTTGGCAGTCTGGTGAAGGCTATAGACCCCTTCTCAAAATACTGTTTTTCAAATGCATAAGATAAAATATATAGGATTACACAACCAAAGGGTTAGTTACAACTAAAGCTTCGATCTTTTTCTCCTCCAAGTTCACAGACCCTCTGAATTCCATGGATCCCAAGTTCAGAAACCTTTCTTGCAAGTACTTACAGCACACAAACCTTAAGGTGGAGGGCTGTACACTGGTGGAAGCTATTATTCTCTATGGGCTCTGATATCAGTCCATTTGGTGGCACTTAACCTCTGAGTAAAATTATCCCCATGCTACAAGGGAAAGAGCCCTAGATTTGGGGCCAGAGAGCCTAGGTTTGAAGCCAACCCTTGACCCTTCCCACTTCTGTGACCTTGGACAAGTCACGAACATCTCTGGCTCTCAGTTTATTCATTTATAAAATAAGAGCTCGGCACGATGACCTCTAAGGTCCCTTCCATCTCTAAGTTAACAATCCAATGTTTTGGGCTTGATAAGCCTGTCTACTTCATAAGAGAAGGTGGCAACTGCATGCCTTCTCTCTCACCTCCCTTATGTGTGTTGGAAGGGGTGAGTAGGGTGGGGACTTTTATTGTACTGTGCTGGTGGCAAATACTGAAGTTCCTGGATTATCTGGCTGTGGACAACAAACAAGAGAAGAATACCACAAAGGCGACTTGGGTCTTTCCACGTCAGGAGGGAACCTCTGACACAAAGTTTATGTATTGTATGTTGTAAACATATAATGAAGCAAAATCATAAAGCTCTACGCCTGAAACATGCAGAACATTATTTCTTACCTACTGAAGCGGGTAGAACTGTGAGGCTGAGTAAATGGGGACAAAACACGGATGGTATGAGTCATCTGAGTTGGGAGTCATTTCTGGGATGAGGCACAGGGTCGGTTCACTTAAAAAAAAAAAAGGAAAGAAAAAATACAAAGCTGGTGAGTAGATCCAAGTACATCTAGGTTTTAGAAAACAAAGAAAGGTTAATCTTCTTGGGACTAATCCGAGTTGCTACCATGAGTAAGAGCTGATGAGTGATAACACAATTACCATCGTTTAGCCAAAACACTGCGGTGGCTAGTCCTGGATGCTCGACAGAGCATAAGAACAGGAAGGCTGAGCAAAGAATCATACCAACAATCCACATACCAAACCAGACAGAGCATGCTTATGATTGATTAATCAGAGCACAATAACCAGAACGAAGGGAGAAAATAAGACAGCTAAGAGACTAGGATTTCCTAAATTAGAAGTCAGGGCAGGAATAACGAACATAGGGGCCTTCCCAGGAAATGGCATTTCTCTTTTTAAGAGTCAGGAAGAACACTGAAAGCCCCAAAGAGATAACTTTTGAAAAGGGCACAATTCCTTTGTGCCTGTATAGGAAATGACTTCACAGAGACCACAGATGGGGGATTAACAGGAGTTAGCTCAGGTAAGGAAACAGATGATAGAGAGAGGCTCTGAAAGGAACAAACCGAGCAAAGCTGGGACAGAAGCCAAAGACAGGCCAGGGCAGGGCCAGGTAAGGGATGCTGGCATGAACTGAAACAGATTTGTCTAGATAGAAGAGGTCTACCAAACTGACAGCTTCCTCAGGGCAAAGATCATGATTTTTCTCCTCGTTTATTCACGTTCGTATTCCTCCGAAGTCTTACCACACAAAACCATGGAAAATTTTATCTTATGTTTTGCTTCACTTTAATAAAATTTAGTATGTAAAAAAATACATACTTATAAAATAAGATAAATTACAGGGCAATTATTTCCACAACTTCCTTAAATCATTCAGCCTGCCAGTATGTTTAAGGGTTTCTTTACAATAGGTAATTAGCATTAAGAGCTTACCTTTATATTGTGCTTTTAGAACCCTCTGAAGGTAGGTGGTGCAAATATTATTACCCTAATTTCATAAGTGAGAAACTGAGATTCAGAAACTTTAAGTAACATCCCTAAGGTTGCAAAGTTAAAAAGCGTTAGGGCTGGGAACTGATGACAGCTGGTCTGACTCTAACCCCAGCATTGTTTCGTAGAGACTAGGGGTAGAAAACTTTAAAGTATTTGAAGCAATTGGTAAGTTGAAGATGAATCAAAAATAAAGATTAAATTATCTCTGAAAAATATGATATTAGTCAATCAGGAAAAAGAATTCCATATACCAAAATCAAATTTCTAACTTTACTTGGAAGTCCTAATTTATGGCTTACAGTGGAGTCCCAGCAGAGCTGTTAACTGAAAGAAAGCAACCAGGTCTTTGGCCTAGAGCAGGGAACTTAAAGGGCCCCAGTGACAGAACTGTCCCCTTCTTATAGGCAGCCACATCTTGGGGTTACCCAAACCATCCCTCTCTTCCCCCCCCAACACATGCTGGTAACAATCACCCCAGGTGCAAGAAATTGCTAGGTATGTCCCAGTGTTTGGGGACTACCTTCCAAAAAGGACATAAAAATTAAAAAGCAAGCTTCAGTGTACTCTGTAGGTTACATTTCTGCAAAACTGAATTACCTAAAAAACCAACAACAGTATTTTGAGTTTCTACAAAGAAAAGTACTACACAAAATCAAATAAATAGCATTTCTTTGACTCTCCAACTGGTCATCAGAAATAAAGCCCCAAACCTAAATAATGAAAAAAAAATGTATCTAGCTGTTCTGAATCTAGTTACCTTAGGAGACCGAGGGAAACGCAAAAATAATAGGCGTTGAGCACCTGATAAGAGGCATAATGCTGTAACAGACAGAGCATTGGACCAGGAGTAAGGAGCCCTGGGTTCTGGCCTCTGCTGTGCCACAAACTAACTATGAGACTTGGGCAAGGCCATTTCACACCCTCTGGGCCTCAGTTTCCTTCTCTGAAAAATGAAAGGTAGATAGTGAAAGCTCTGCAGGCTCCAAAGACTCTATGAAATTACATTATGAGATCCATTCACAGAGAAGAGAGTCTGGTTCTCAGCAGTATGGTGGGAAATGAAGCGAAGAAATAACAGCATTCTCAGCAAAAAAATGTGTTAAGGTAGTGTTTTAAGACTACATGACAGTTTGAGCAGATAAACCATCATTTTAGTGAACAGAGAAATAGTTACCAACAGCAATCAGATAGTTCTCATTCTGTGGCAGTTAAAAATGTTGGGTAGGGAGTCAGGGAAAGCCCTGCCACCATTTAAATTATTTCTTTAATAATAATGATTAGTAAGTAACTTAGTAAATAGACAGCTAGGTGGCATAGTCAATAGAGTACTCGGCCTGAAGTCAGGAAGACTTGTCTACCTGAGTTCAAATCTGACCTCACTTACTAGCTGTGTGACCTTGTGCAAGACACTTAACCCTATTTGCCTCAGTTTTCCCATCTGTAAAATGAGCTGGAGAAGGCAATGGCAAAGAACTCCATAATCTTTGCCAAGAAAACGCCAAATGGGAGTTGGACAGAGAGTTGGACATGAATGGAATGACTGAACAACATCCACAAAAAAATTAGTGAATAAAATCAATGTCTATGAAATTCTTATTCTTTCACCTTTTAAAGAATAATGCATTCTTGAAATGCATTTAAAGAATATACAGGCGCAGCTAGGTGGCACAATAGAGAGAGCTCTGGCCTTGGAGTCAGGAAGACCTGAGTTCGAATCCCATCACAGACACTTGTCACTTAATTTGTGTGACCCTGGGCAAGTCACTTAATCCCATTGCCTCACCAAAAAAAAAATTAATATATATATATATATATATATATATATATATATATATACACATATATATATATACATATATATATACATATACATATATATACACATATATATATGTGTATATATATATGTATATATGTGTGTATATATATATGTATGTGTATATGTATGTGCGTGTGTGTGTATATATGTATATATATATATGTGTATATACACACACACACACACACACACACAATAATAATAATTCCTTCTAAGGAATCAGAGGATCTAAAGCTTTGAAACTGATAACCCCCCCAAAAAAATTAGAGAAAATAAATTTTTAAAAAGTAAAAAAGAGGGGGCAGCTAGGTGGTGCAGTGGATAGAGCACCAGCCCTAAAGTCAGGAGGACCTGAGTTCAGACCTGGCCTCAGACCAAATACTTGATACTTACTAGCTGTGTGACCTTGGGCAAGTCACTTAACCCCAACTGCCTAACCCCCCCCAAAAAAAAAGTAAAAAAGAGAGTTTTGGCAGATGGATTCCAAAAGAAAAGCCAAGGCTCATGTTAAGTTGTCCAATACATTAGAATCAGTGACACAAGAACCTAAGGTCTTTGTTCTAAGGTCTAGTCCTCAAAGCCTCTGTCCTATGCTCTTATCTTATACTTATCCTCAAAATTATCACTTACTATATCATTTTATTTAACATCTCTGTAATAACAAAAAAAAGTCTGAATATACTTATGTACACTTTCTTTTCCCTAAATCAATAATACAGGATCACTCTGGGTTATGAGAGGCAATATATACCTGTCAATACAAACTTCTGAATAGTTACTGGTAAATTTATAGATTTAATATGATATTCAAATTTCATAAATTTCTCAAACATATACTTTTGTTTTCAAAACTCACCAAAAACTCAATCAAGGCAGGGGGGAAGGGTCACAGAATCATAGATCTAGAAATGCAAAGGGACCTTAGAGGCCATCTAATTGTACCTCCTTATTTTACAGATTAGGAAATGAGAGCTTGAGATAAGGTCAGTAACATGGCCAATATCATATAAGTAGTGAGGTGCAGAGCAGTTTCCAACCTTATGGTGAAGGCCCCAACAACAACAGGAATTCATCCCAGCTGCATATAAGAATGGGATTCTTCCTGTGAAGGGTATCATGGGAGACATAGGTAAAAAAGAAACGTCTTTAAGTGAAGCTTATAATAGCATTACTTTTGTAGTTTTCCCACATAAAACAAAACAAAATTGAAACCTCCAACAACCACAGGGCCATAGGATTTTAGAGATCAAAGAGATGACTTCCCTCCTTTTTTCAAAGTCCAGCTCAAATATCATCTTCTCCATGGAGCTTCACTGATATTTCAAGAGGAATTCTACTCAAATTACCATGGCAATTTATTTGTAACACACATTTATATTCAAATCTGTTGTCACTCATCAGTCTATGGCTACAGATTCTCTGCTCCCCAGAACTGACAATTCCATGCCCACTATTTTGATTTTTGAACACACTACTGGCTTATCCATCAGTTTTTTTCTTCTTGTCATCTCTCTTATGCACACTATCATATTCCACTTTGGATTATGGTTATTTTTGCATATTTCCCATCTCCCCTTCTATAAACTGCAAACCCCATGAAGGCATGGACTCTGACTTTTTTTTCTTTTCTTTTCTCACAACACTTGGCAAGAGAAATGTCTTACACAAAGTAGATTTCAGTGACTGAATACTGTTGAATATATTTTCCAGATAGGGAAACTGAGGTTCAGAGAGGTTGAATGATTTGCTCAATATCATTCAGCTAATAATTAGTACCCAAACCAGGATATCTGCTAGACTCTTCCCTTGACGATAACTGAGAGAAAAGTGAAGAATAAGGAAAGAGAGAAATATCATCATTGTTGTTGTTGTTGTTGTTATTGTTATTAACTTTGAAACTGGGTCTGCCTATCTCATCCAGGCTAGAAACCCATTCATGGGCCCAGCCTTACCACTGATTGGCACTGGAGCCTCTACCTGTCCTATTTCTGACCTAGCCTAGTATGCTGCTCCTTAGAACACCTAGTGGGTCCTTGCCCCCAGGGGCTCACCTTATTGGTGTTGGACTTAGTTCAGATACCTGATCAGCTTCAACCCAACTGTAACTCAGAACTCCCAGACTCAAGCAATCCATCAGCCTCCATCTCTTCAGTAGCAGGGAAATGCTGCTACCACATGCATTACCACATATTATATATTCTGTTTTTTCATGTAAGCCTAGATTCCAGTAAATTATTACTCTGAGTCAGAGGGTCACAGAATATTGGAGTTGGGAGGGGCCATAAGAGGTCATTTAAGCCTACTTGTAATGGAATGTCCTGTATAGCAAGCATCACAAGTGGTTATTCATTTTCTACTTGAAGATATCCATTAATGGGTGATTACTACCTCTAGAAGCATCCCATTTCATATCTGGACAGCTATTAAGCTTTTCCTTTAATCTTATGGAAATCAG